AAAGTGTTTGTCTTCTGTGTAATTGTGCCATTCTTGCGTGTTGTGTTGAGAATGCCAGTGAGATATTGCTGTTTGATGTTTATATATGTTGGATTTTGTACATAAATGTAAACAATGTTTGTAAATCCCAGGCCCTGAAGATGATCTCAATAAAGAACGAAACGTCGGCACGATAAAGAAAATGTTTTTCTGAAACCTACATCACACTAGACCGCATCTCACGATTTCTGAATAATTATCTATTAACGGTCTGTAATCACCACACATGAAAAATAATGTTCACTCCGTCGTGTCTATTTGAATTGACGGTCATATTAATCCCCGGGGTTGCGAAGTTAATGACGTTTTGCTTTATGGTTTTGACTTCGAAAAAGACAGGTTCTTACTTAACGAGGCAGTACCAAACCTTGGATGCTTGTCCAGCAATTGCACTTGTTTAGCACATTCTTGTATTTCAGCCTTGACTTCTGGTCAGTACACATTTTTGAAAAAACAACATGAATACTTCGACTAATACACTTCCAAAATTTAATGTATAAATGTTATTTTTTTAATTAATTAATCTTTTTACGTTAGGTTTTGATTGAAGTAAAAAAGCTAGTGTCACAAGCGGGATTCGAACCCACGACCTTCAGCTCAATACGCCGCTGCTCTAACCATTTCATCTATCGTGACTTCGATCTTCTCAGACACCAACTCCCCATCTCAACCTCCAACCTTTCGAATTTTCCTTCCTTTTGCCATTTTTCAAGGCCGAAGGTCGTGGGTTCGAATCCTCCTCGTGACACTAGCTTATTCATTTCAACCAAAACCTTACATAAAAAGATTAATTAATTGAAAGAAATAATTTAGTCAATCAGACTACTAAATATAAAGGATTATTTTTTTAATATTAATTTTATTCATACAAGAATTATTCGAAGAAATATGCCTTTTTGCTGTGTTGTATTTTAGATGTGACAGCATGTACACCTGTTATTTTCGGCTGTCGTATTTATTCATAATGATAGTACTTCTTTTTTTACCAATAACCACTGCCATGGACTAGAAAAAGGTGCGCTATTCAGCAAAAAAAAATTAGTCTTGGTCAGGAATCGAATCGCGTGATGGACTACCCCGTTACATAAAGGAACAGAAACAAACCGCAGACTTTCCGTTTCTTTTTAAAAATTGTTCGAATCCTGTGAAAGGGCAAATATTTCGGACCCCGTTCGATTTCACGGGTGTCCTTCATGTCCTACAATTAATTCCGTCGTATCCTGGGAGTGCTTGATTTTTCTTGATCCTTAAAGAAAAAAAAGTCTGCAATAAAGTTAATCCGTGGGATATCCCTCGATTTAACTTTAATGCTCACTTCACTTATCAGTTACGTAAAATTTTACATCGCCAATGATAAAAAGCAATTTTTTTGTTGAAAATAAAACTACAGTTAAAATACAGCGAAATTATGATCGTTGACTTTAATGCCCTCATAAAACATCTATTGACTGTGTTCGTTTGTTATGCAATCATTTCTTTCAGGCATGTTACTCCTTGGAAGAAAGCAATCCTCAATCCTGAAGTTTCAATATTGTAACTTTCTATTAAAAAATCAGGGCTAAGGACAATCTGAAAGAAAATAAAAACATTGTTTTTTGTCAAGCTTTCGAGAAAGCTCTTTAATTGATTTGGTGTGACTCCTTTGTGATGTGAGTACCCTAGATTCTAGCCCTTCTCGAACACTAAGTCTCATTGTAACTAAAAAATATCAATGAGTTTATTTGTGAGTAAATAAATCTAATAAAAAATGCCCCCGGCGTGTTTCACGCAGGTCCTCCCGTCTGGAGTCCACCAAAACTCTTATTTGTAATGACAAGTTCTGCAATAAGTACAAATATGAACATCTACTTACAATACTTACACTCATGGTTTCAACAGAATGGATTTCTTAGTTGGTTTCTTCTCATGTCACGCCAGTACACAACAGTTGCATCGCGTTGAGGACATCATCCTCTCTTAAGCAGAAACAATATTGCTGCTATTCACTTTTTCATATATACTTAAATATCTGACTGACCAATACGGCCGCACCTGTCGGAGATTTCTTTTTATATTACAAAGAAGCGCGTGTCTCTCATGGCAATATCTTCAGGCCGTTCTTATTCAAGTATCCTCATTTAACGTTAATTCGAGACTTCTTCTCAAAGTCAGCAGAGTGATTCATGTGCAGTTTGGTCTAACTTGTTTCTATCGTACACACATAGTAATTTAATCCATTAAAAGGCATTTTTTCTAACCTTTCCGTAAATTAAAACTAGTATATAGCACACTTCCAATTTTTCGCGTTTATCGCGTTTCAGCTTTTCGCCTTCTTCAAGCTGCTGTGTGTTTTTTGTCAAAATTTTGTATTTTTGAAGCACAGCAAAAGCCTGCTCGAGATACCAGTCTAACTGACCAAACCAAGGAGACTGGGCGGGCCTAGATAGATATTTTGACATCAGGCATTTCTAGAGCTGTAATAATACAAGTAAAACGGTTTTTATGGGTATGGACAAATACGAGTCTACTTCAGGGAGGATATCTTTCTTATAAAAAGAGCCAAAATTATTTTTCTACCACAGTCCATGATCTGAAACCATCACATATACCTTATCTAGGCTCTAAAATTTCTCAGTTTGGTACATAAGAGATAACTATACTTTTCCCAGGTAGAATTTATTACAAATCTGACAGTTTTCTATCTTTTTTTCAAAGTAGTTGCAATTGGACCATCTTTATAGATTTACTTTTCTTCTTATCTCATCCAGCCCCCAAAATTCTAAAAATTAGCCTTTACTGCCAATATTACAATGTTAACCAATATACTGAAATTTATGGTTTCAAATACAAATTTTCTAGATAGTTTCTTTTCATTTTACTCAACTATACAATAGGTACATTGCGTTGAGGACATCTTGAGTATAAACATTGCTCTGGTATCTTTCTCGTCATAGCTCAAGCGTTTGATCTGATATTACATACTCACAAACAAGCAGTACTGACGCATCTCTCAGATATTTCTATCTAAATTTCAATTAAACTGGTTGTCTCCATGGCAGCATCTTTGGGCCCTTTTTATTTACAATATACACAGCGGAACCTGTTCTTCTTGGTATTACATGCTCTTTTGTTTACGACACACCTGTCATCTAATCCTGATGCTTTCCTATCTGGTCTTAACATCCAACTCCAATTAAAACTTTTCCAGTTTTGGTCTAATAAAACTAAATCGACCTAAGGTGATGTACCGTACTAAAATTCTCTTGGAGTCGATGGATCCACTGCAGGGAAACTTTTTTTTTTATCAAGCTTAACGCTAGATTTTCATTGAGCCAAAATCACTTTTGTGACAAAATTCGCTATTGTAAATTTTATAATAAACAAGAAAATAAAAAAAAGGAAGTTTTTTATTTGAAGAAAAATAAATATTGTTAATAACTTTTATTGTAACAGTTTTCGTTTTATTAAAGAGTATGGCCATACTTCTTATTAAAATGGTTAAAATAGACTGTATCGCAAAAGAAAAACGAGTCAAAACCTGATTGAAAAAAAATTACAAACATAAAAACAATGAAAAGAGAAAAACGTAGATATTTACCCTAATGTAGGTTCGACATTGAATTTACTTACTTAAAGAGCTTACCGTCTTTTTCCTTCATAATAAAATTATTTTAAGGAAATCCCATAATAAAACATGCTCTTATATAATTTTTAAAAACTAGGTAAAAAATAGGTGATACATTATATACAAATTGATTGTTTGGGAATGAATTTGTCTCAAAACCAATACCACGTTAGAATTACATGATTAGAAAGTTCATTACTTATAGTCAGAGTATTTTTTTGTTCAAAATATATGCGATTTATAATCTGACATGGGAATTTTAAAGGAGGAAATTAAAAATCATAAATTTCTCCGTTTAATTTGCCGATTTTACGAAACCAGTCCGCATCCAGTTCATGTTTCAAACTGGATACCCCAACCCTCGCTCGGTTGCATAACTTTTAATTATTTCCATTCAAATCTTATCAACCCTACTCAAAATCCCATCCGTCTTGATTTGGCCGGATTTTACACGGGGAAAAAAATTTATTGCCGCCTTTCTCCTGCACACAACGAACGCGTGAAATTGTTATGCAACGGAATCAAAAGGAAATTAACGCCTCACCGAATAAGCTTTATTGCCCGTCTTAAGAGTAATGCCATCAATAAAAGTAAATGGAATTATAGCATAAAATGCAAACAAGGGAAAAGATCTATATGACGATTGATGAAGGTATGAGTAGTAATTTAGAGATGGGCAAAAAATCGAGAATCGATTCAAAGAATCGACTCATCTAAAAGAATCGATCCCCCAATCGATTCCTTTAAGTGAGTTGCGGTTCAGTTCAGGTAACTGGAGGGGACGGATACGTCACACGTTTCCGGACGATTCTTTTTCCTAACAACTCTTTTTGATTCTTCTAAGAAAATCTTCAACTCCCGGAGTCGGATTTCAACTCCCGGAGTCGGATTTCAACTCCCGGAGTCGGATTTCAACTCCCGGAGTCGGATTTCAACTCCCGGAGTCGGATTTCGACTCTTCAATTCTTTTGGCGACTCATAAACTCTGCGATTCCTTTGATTCTTTCGATTCCTCAACTCCCGGACTCCCAGTTTGATTCTTTCGATTCCTCAACTCCCGNTAATTGGAAAAAACTTTAATTTATAAGGAGCCAGTAAGCTCAAGCAAAGCCTTATTATTTCTTTTGTTTGGTGTTGGGAAATTTTACGAACGAATGGTGTTGGTAAGGGACAGGTGTACATAAGTGTTGTAAAAGATTCTTTATTAATAAACTCTTGTATATAAAAAGGGAAGGGTCTTGTCTTAATTTTAGGACATAGTCCGTTTTAACCCTTTCTTCCTCTTTTGACTGAAGAGGGGCGCTTATCGCCCAGCACTCAGGCTTATTTACCCCGTAGGTAATAAGTGCCACCTCACAACGTTTATTTCGTTGAGAGCACGCGCAAGATGCATCGGGTCCATCTGTAGATTAAATATTTAATCGGTATTTACTCATAAATAAAATCAGAGAAAGCAAACTGATTAACCTACCTTGTACTTTGTAGACGTTGTCCTCGGTTGAAAACTGTTGAAGAACAATAGGTAGAATGAGAGATTATAGCATATCTATTGAATGTCCCCCACCATTCGGACTTTAATGCACGATCGCCCGCTCTCTGACGGCAAACTTGTGCACCTCGATACCACACAAAGTATTTAGACCGTTCTTAGTATATTATATTTTTAATTATATCTTATTTATAATTTTTATAAAGACGACTTATTAAATCTGTCGCCGTAAATTCGAGTATTGCATTCATTTTTTTTTTTTTTGCAGATTCTGACTTTTTTTTCTCTGAACATTTATCGTTGATGAATCGAACTATGAAATTTTATACGAAGTAACTACTACAAAAAAAAAAAACCTACGTTTTAAAATAAAAAAAAAACTTTATCGCCTACCGTTGACCATGTAATGTCGTTAAAAAATGCTTTTGCAGACGTGATCAGATATTTGATAGTAAATTCTTCAGCGTCGGATAAAATAGGTTTAACATTTGGCAACCATAATATTTCGAAAAGCGGGTGGATTCCTTACACCAGTGCCATTGAGATAACAGGTGGACGTGTGTGGGAGATGATAGAATCTATTTTTCAGAGCAATGATGCTGCTCTCCACACAGATGAATTTACAATTTCGGTCTCAGTTGTGAGTTACCAAGGGGAGGGGGCAGAATGAAAAAAATTTTCATTCAATGATATGTTCCTTAGGAAAAACGGTATAATTAGTTTTACTAATTCTGATTTTTTATTTTTTTTTTTTTTTTTGGCGAAGACTGGTGGAAAAAGGGATCCCAAATTTATGAAAGTCAGGAGAGTCAATTCCGACCGACCAAACGGAATGAGTGTACTGTATGGATGTATTTACGTGTATGAACGTATTTATTTGTATGAATGCAGTGTTTGAAAGTGTTAAATAGAAAATAGACTCANCGATTCAAAGAATCGACTCATTTCAGGGATTGAATCGAAGGGAATCGACTCACTTAAAAGAATCAAACTTCCCACCACTAAGTAGTATATAGTACTTGGGGCAGACAAACATTACCCCCTCCACCTTCCTGTGTCGGCGAGACAGACTTTGCCCCCACTTATCTTCCTTCGAGGTGCCCCCATCACTCGTCGGGTCTGATGCGGCCTAGGATTGACTTTTAAAATTTGCTAAGGGGGTTTTTTTCACCCTTATTGTTTACATTGAAACGTCACCACGCCTGTAACCTTCCTGACCAGACTCTACTCTGGTCAAATTCGGGGGGGGATGACGAGGGTTGTTTTCATCTTTATTTTTCCTTGTTACGAAAATAATTTTCATTTTTAAATATTTAGGTTGATAAATGAATTTACTAAATCGATACATATTCTTAAATGTTAACCCATCCGACTGTATATGTCGCTTTAAAAAAAAATACCATGGGGTTTGCCGAGGGTTGTTTTCACCCTTATTTTATTTTCCTTTTGATGAAAATCGTTTTCATTTTTAAATATTTAGGTTGATAAATGAAATTACTAAATAGATGTGTACTTTATTCCATCAATATTTCATTGAGAATTGTCATGTGGATCCGTTTGCAGAATGTATCACCATTGCGTCAGCATGCAATCTTGCATATCGACGAAATTTTTTGAAAATGAATAGGCATTATCCTCCTGAACGGGTATCGGCTCTTTGGTTACTATGGGACTCGCTATACAATGGTTACTATGGGAAGAGAATAAACGAAAAATTAAAATTCAACATGTCGGAAGAGGAAGGGAAGTCAGTATCCCCTTTACGAAATTTAAAGTTGATGGGTATAATAAAGAAACAAATACCGTTTTTGAATTCAGAGGGTGTTTTTATCATGGTCATCCACCGTGCTACCCTTACAGAAAAGATGAACCATTATATAAGGCATCTACTGAAACAATGAATACCAGATATAATGATACCCTAAAACGTCTAGACTATTTAAAAAGTATGGGGTACAATATTGTCCATTGTTGAGTGTGAATTTCGCGAATTGCTCAAATCGAACTCTGAATGTTCACTATATTTCAAAAATCCCACAATTCTCTCTCAAGAACCACTACTCCCTATTTTACGGGGGTCGGACGGGGAATACACGGCTTCATTATAAAACGACAGACGATGAAGAAATTCACTATGTTGATGTCTGCTCCCTCTATCCTTATAAACACGGAAAATTCCCAATCGGCCATCCAACAGTGTATGTAGGCGAAGATTGTGTAAAAATTACTGGAGCGCAATGCGGTTTAAATAGCATTGAGGGTTTCGTAAAATGTACCGTCTTACCACCTAATGATCTTTATCATCCTGTTTTGCCGATTAAAAAACATGGCAAACTGCTGTTTGTTTTATGCAACGAGTGTGCTGTTGAGCTTTCTTCAAATCCCTGCACCCATAATGAACAACGGAGATGCTTGAATGGCACATGGGTTGTAGACGAATTACGAAAAGCAGTCAGATTGGGATATAAGATCACGAAAATTTATGAAATTTGGAATTATAAGATAGTACAGTACTCCAAAGAGAAAAAAGAAGACGGGTTATTTTCTAAACGTATACATCACTTCCTTAAAATAAAACAAGAAGCTTCAGGTTACCCTAGTACAGTAACGGATGAGATAATCATGAAAAGCTACATTCAATCGTATTACCTGGTTGAAGGTATTATGTTAAATAAATATGCCACAAAAAGTAATCAGGGACTACGCTCTTTAGCAAAGTTGATGCTTAACTCGTTTTGGGGCAAATTCGGCCAACGAGACAATTTTACAAAGACAATTTTAATCGAAGACCACTCTCAGTTATGCGAAATGCTTATAAATTCCAACTACATTGTGAATCATATTCAGGAAATCAATGATAATGTCATATGTTTCAACTGGGAGAACAAGGAAGATACTATAGTACCCTCGCCAATTATGAATGTAGCAATTGCTGCTTATACTACCACTCAAGCCCGCCTAATAATGTACAACTACCTCGAAAAATTAGGTGAAAGAGTTTTGTACTATGATACTGACTCGATTATATATATAAAGAGACCTCGGTCTACAGAATATGAACCACCAGTGGGGAATTATTTAGGGGATCTTACTAACGAGCTAGTAGAGTACGGCGAAGGGAATTTTATCACCGAATTTGCTTTAGGGTGGGCCAAAAAATTACGGTTACTCCGTTAAAAGCATAAAATTGAACAAAATAATAAATGTCTGCAAAATAAAGGTGAATTAAATTAAATTGGGAGAATCTGCAACTAGTAAATTTTGATGTAATTAGAAATATGATTTTGACGGACGAAGAGACTCAGAATAAAACATTTTTAAAAAGTAAAAACATTAAAATTACACAACAGCCTAATGTATCAATGCAGGAAAATAAACTGTATAGAATAAATTTCATGAAAAGAGTTAGGTGTGAGGACTATAACTCCTACCTTATGGTCAAAATAGGTCGGCTAGACGATTAGATTTTTATTTAACAGGGAGTATATTGCGTTAATTTATTTCGAAGTATTTCGTTATGTTTTTGTTCCTCATTATTTTTTATGAGAGGGTTATTTTATTTGACTGAAAGTATATTGCGTTAATATATTTAGTAGAAGTATTTCATTATGTTTTTGTTTTTCATTATTTGTTATGAGATGGTTATTTTATTTGATTGAAAGTATATTTTCTCATTATTTATTATGAGAGGGTTATTTTATTTGACTGAAAGTTTATTGGATTAATTTATTTAGTAGAAGTATTTCATTATGTTTTTGTTTCTCATTATTTATTAGGAGATGGTTATTTTATTTGTTTGAAAGTTTATTGGATTAATTTATTTAGAAGGATTTCTATATTTTTAAAAATATCATTATTAATTATGAGAGGGTAATTTGACTGGAAGTTTCCATTCGTTTTAAATTCATTTTTTAACTCTGGCGAAGACCGTTCCAACCCGGTTTGAAAAAAGAGGAGGAAAAAATGAATTTAAAATGAATGCAATACTCTAAATTGCGGCGACTCATAAAGGTTTCCATATTCTCTTATAAACATGAATCCTTATGAATAAAAGATGAATGAATTATTTATTTAAATATTAGTTTTGTAAACACATCATCCACTTTCACATGGATAAGGTGATGTTTTTTTTAAATTTCTCAAAAATTTGTAGAAAGTTTATTATTTGTTTTCGTTACGTCTTCTAATGGGAGGATAAAAATAGCAGGCTCCTTTCGCTCTTTAGGGCATCCTTATATAAAATAACACCCCATTAATAATAATTGTCAATAAAACGTAATTTAAAATTGGCCGGCTACGGCAATTTTCTATTTATTAAATTTAATCGAAAATGTCAACCATTATGCAAGCGAGATTTACAGCATGAATTTTGTTTATTTAACATTTCAAGTGTTTTGAGAATTTATTGGCCAGTTTGGGGTCTTATGACAACTATAAAATCCAATAAAATATACATACTACAAATTATTACGTTTAAGAAGATGTTTTTTAAAATAAATTCTTTTCTATCTCTTACGCAGTCATTTTTTTAAAGTACTAACCCTTCCGACATGTGATTAATTTTTCATTCAAAAGATAGAAGTAAGATAATTTTATAGAACTCTAATTGTAAACAAAAACTGAAGTGTCATAACATTCAAATTTCCTACGAACTTTTCTAACTGATCTTTAATAGTTGTTATTAACAGCCTAATTCAATCGAAAACATAAATTAACGAAGCTGAACTGACAATAAAATTGTCAAATCAAATAAACATAATGTATTTACCATAGCATTTGTACTACTAACGATTTTCAAACTTTTGTTGTTTGCATTTCCAATTATGATTCATTTACTTTAAAAAAACTTTAAAAAACTACTTCTCGTAGCTAAAACTGTAAAGTTGCGTGCGAATTTTCGGTCTGAAAAATAGGTTTCATGAAGCGTTTAGTCTGTGAAGCAGATTTTACAACAGTATTTCGTCTTAAGAAAAAGGGTTGCATGATTTCCATTTTTTGAAGTTCGTCGTTTTTTTCGCCGAAAAATTAAGTGCCATACCAACTTCTAGTGATAAAAGTTTATTATCTCATCTTTTTAGTCTGTAAAGCAGGTTTACAAAAGTATTTAGTCTAAAAATAAGGTTGTTTTATTCCTGTTATTTCTGGTTTTCGATTTTTCGTTGGAAAAGTCAGTGCCTTGCGAACTTCTAGACTT